ATCAAAAAATTCTTAACTAATCTTCGATAATAACCGGCAAGTCCAAGGAAACTCTGAAATTCAGATACATTCTTTGGAACTTCCCAGTCTATTATAGCTTTTACCTTTTGAGGGTCTACCCGAATCCCATCTGCAGAGATCACATGCCCCAAGAAAATTACTTCATTTAGCCAAAATTCACATTTGGACAATTTGTCATAAAGCTTCTTATCTCTAAGAATTTACAAAACTATTTGTAAATGTGCGCTATGCTCTTCAATGGACTTCGAGTAAACCAGTATGTCATCAATAAAGACAATAACAAACTGGTTAAATAGGGCTGAAAAATCATGTTCATGAGATCCATGAAAGCAGCATGTGCATTCGTTACTCCGAATGGCATTACAATGAATTCATAATGGTCATATCTCGTTCTAAAAGCAGTCTTTGGAATGTCCTTCTCCTAAATCTTTAATTGGTGATAACCCGAACGTAGATCGATCTTCGAGAATATCGAAGCTCCTTTTAGTTGATCAAACAAGTCATCAATGCGCGGGAGGGGATACTTATTCTTGATGGTTACCTTATTAAGCTGTCAATAATCAATGTAGAGACGCATTGACCCATCATTCTTCTTAACAAATAACACCGGAGCTCCCCAAGGAGACACACTTGGTCGAATAAATCCATTCTCTAACAACTCTTACAATTGATTCTTTAACTCTTGCAATTCTTTCGGAGCCATCCGATAAGGTGCCATTACAATTGGAGCTGTTCCCGGCATTACTTCAATTTAAAATTCTACCTCTCTATCTGGAGGTAATCTTGGCAACTCAGCAAGGAAAACATCAAGGAATTCTCAAACTATTGAAATCTCATCTAATCCTTTCTCTTTAGCTCTTGTATCTATCACATTTACAAGAAAACCTTAACATCATTATAGCAATATCTTCTTAGCAGACATTAATGATATTACATTTGCTAAAGGATTAAACCTTTCACTGATCATAGTTATTTTTGTTCCTCTTGGACTCTTCAGGGTTACCTTTTTCAATCTGCAATTAACATCCCAATAGTAACGGAACAACCAATCTATTCCCAGAATCACTTCAAACTCGTCAAAGGGTAATTCCATCAGATTAGCAGGGAATTCAATTCCCTGAATCTTTATGGGACACCCCTTACAGACTTTGTTCACCCGAGCACTATGGCCTAAAAGATTAGTTACTATAATCTAATTATTCGTAGCTTCTAAGGGGATCCTCAATTTCTTTACTAACTTACTTGTAATGTAAGAATAATTAGAACCCGAATCAATCAATACCAATACTAATTTATCATACAGCTAAAAAGTACCTGTTATAATATCAGGGTCATCGCGGTCTTCACTTATCTTTAAATTATACACCCGTGTGGTTGACCAAACTTCAGGTTAAGCAGAGGATTCAGACTGGTTACTTCCTCTGCCTCTTCCTCGTCTTTTCTGTGAGGTAGAACCAACTCTCTCAGATGGTGCAAGTTCACCAACCATCAACGGATAATCTCGAATAAAATGTCCAACATCTCTGCATCAAAAACAAGTCCCAGCAGCCATCCGACACGCCCCAAAATGGTTTTTCCCACAATGCTGACACTATCTTGCTTGAACCTGGTTGGATCTCCCAGCACCAGATCCCACTGACTGTGTCTTTCTAGGCCTTGCCTGACTTGCACCCCTAGCAGATGATGCAACTAATTCTGATCTAACTTGTGATCGAAATCCTGAGTCTCTTCCTCTTTTTTTATGGTGCTGAGCTGGAAGAAGCACCTGTCCTCTTTGATATCTAAACTCTTAAGTACCCGAATCTCTCATTCTGAGCTCTTTCAAGAGCTTTGGCATGATTAATCACCTCTTAGAATGAGTACAAATTCAATACTATTAGTATTTCTTTCAATCTAGGGTGTAAGCCCTCCACCAACCATTCACACACATATTTTTCAGTAGGCACAAGCTCAGAGGCAAACCGACTCAGCTTATTAAACTCGAATTCATACTCATATACAGAGCGGTTCATCTGTTTCAAGTTCATATACTCCTTCTTCATCTGCCGAATAAATTGATCTCCAATATACTTGTTTTTAAATTCATCTAAGAACAAAGACCAAGTCAACTGGTCACTTGACATCCTCATGGTGACGTTCGTCCACCATATTCTCGCCTGACCCCTCGGTAACGAGACAACTTCATCTAACTTCTCCACTTCAGAGGAGTGGAGACCATCTAACATGATTTTCAAATCATTTAACCAAAAATCTGTCGCAACCGGACCTTCCTCAGATTCTCCCTTAAATTCGGGAGCTCCCAAACTTCTCAACTCTTTTTCTAAATTCATTCTTTGAATTGGTGGGGCAGGAGGTTGAAGACGCGTCAGAATAGCATCCAACGTCCTGAATAAAGTGTATTGGTCTTGTACAGGCACTCCCTGAGATGTATGTCCTTCAACTTGCCTGGCCAGGGCAGGTGAATTACTACTTTTAGCAGGCCTATCTTCTCCCGCTTCACTTCGGAAGCTATTATGTCCGGACATCTAATAAAATAAACACACTATTCTATTAGCAAAGCAGCATACTCATACTATACCATATCAGAAGTTCTCACTATTTGTTGGCATGTATTCCATTTAAAGACTCTATAGACTCTGGTTTATGCCTAGAATCGGCTAAACCATAGCTCTGATACCATTAAATGTAACACCCTCAACCCATATCCGACCCGGATACGAGTCCATGATGTCACATTGACTATACAAAACAATACTCTTAAAAAACGATAAAACATTTGAACTAATATTATTAAAATACAATAATATACATATGTTAATACAAGTTTATCAAAATACTCACATATACTTTCTCTTTCATATATCTAATGTCATGTATCATATCTTGTAATCGTGTAAAATGTCTCTTTAATGTAATTTACATAGTAATGCCCTATATTTATATCATATAATGATTTAACTTAAGTCATTCTTTATAAAGTTTATAATACATGTTCAAATAGTCTCATTCTATCCTATAAATAATTTCTACTTATCTTATCTCATTTCCCCTTTCACTTACATAATTCATCTATATATACTAATTGAATCTATTTAATTATTTCAATTTCCCATTACTTCATACATATACTCGTTCATAAAACTTTGTAGCTCTTCACTTTATAATTCATAAACCATAGTTTTCTTTAACTATATAAATCTTCCCTATATAACTTATGTATCCTTATTTATGCATATGTCCTCAAATTTATACTATCCTCATAGAGTGTTCTAACATTTCTCGTGTAATCACATATACCATATAATATGACTTATACTTGATTATCTTATGCTCACTCGTTCATTTCATTCCTTATGTCTCTATCATATAATTTATTTCATGTTCTTCCATTATTACATTTTAGTGTTTTACACAAATCCTATAGCATATACAAAGAACATCAATATCTTTAGTTATGCATACATACAATTAATGTAAAATATATAATCACATATAACACATATAATAATAACAACCACATAATCTTATTCATGACTTCATGCATATTATTCTAGGAAATAGACTCATCGCAAGTCCTATTTCCATTAAACAATACATGTCACTATTATGCACTCACCTGGCCTCACTAGTAAATTCCAATCTCTTATCTTTCCCCTTGATCGATCTCACTTGTCAATGATTCCGGAACTTGTTTAGGCGCTGAATCTACATAATTATACATTTTAAGGCAATTATCAGATACCTACGCCTTGTAATATGATACTAACAACTTAAACGAACTTAATAAACTAATATTCACTTTTTCCTTCAGGGGTGTACCGCACTATAGGTGCATCGGTACCCAAAATAGCTTCGAAATATTGATGCATCGATGCACCCCTTACTGCATCGATGCACCTTCAAAATATGTCTTGGTGCATCGGTGCACACTCATAGTGCATCGATACATTCCTGGCATTTGATGTTTCTTCTTTAAAGAGTGCATCGGTACACTTTGAATGTGTACCAATACACCTTGCCCAGAAATTACTCTTTAGGCACGATAATTCACTCTTTCATCTTCAAAACTTCATGGTTCATCCTCTTTTATAATCCTAACTTACATATACATGACCAGATTCATTTTTATTCATTTATATTGTCTTTAACCTTAATATTCTCTCCTCTTGATTAACTTTAAGAATCATACCAAATTTTCAACATGTTTTAAAACTCATTCTATCACTTCACATCTCTTAATTCAACCCTTGACAAGTCAAATTCAACTTCAAAATCTATTAACTCCTTCTATTTCAAAAATTCACTTAAAAACTCATTTTTCTTAATTTCTCATAACTTGTTAATCTTTTAGTTTTAAGCCGCCTAAAGCTTTTCTTAATCTTTCTTAATATCCCAAGAATCAAAACAAGTTTTAAAATGAAAGAATTAACCAACTGAAGACCCACTTACCTTATACCAGGCTTCACGGTGGAGAGGAGGAAGAAGAAGACTGAAGAATGCTCTGGAGAAATTATCTCCTTCCCACGTGCTTATTACCTTTTATAAAGGGAAATAAAAATCTTTCCTGAAAAATAACCATAATACCCTTATTACTTTCAAACTTTGTTATTAAATCCAACATTAATACTTTTCATTTAAATCCCTAAACTTTCAATCTTTTCTGAGATTGGTCACTAAATTACCAAAAAATCTATTTTGGTCATTGACCCGACTTTTGGGATGTTACATTTCTAATATCCACAATCATGATTATGTATAAGCAATTATTGGCTTGACTTTCAAGTCCTCAGTGGAGTCACCAAGCTATCGTAATGTTTATTTTTGAAAACAAAATGATTTTATTTTTAAAGAATTAAAATTTGTATATTTGTGAAAATTGAATAAATTTTAAAATCGAAGTCGCCATCGACCTTTGGGTTAGGTAGGCCGAGTACCTAAAATTTCTTAAAAATAATTCAAATAAATATAAAAATAATTTTAAAACAAAGTTGATACGTGTTTACCAGAAATTCATTTTTTAAGGGATCGGAAATCGGTTACGCGCGGGGAAGGGTAAGCACCCCTACAGCGCCCAAAATTGATACCTAATTCCTTATACATCATCGTGGTGGTGGAATTAAAAATACTAAAATCAAACATTATTTCATGACTTATTTTATTTCTATTAATTAATTCATTTCGAACCCAAAGAAATGCCCCCTATTCTGAGAAGTGATCACATGATTTGCACATCCTCCAATGGGAAGACTTTCCCATCTACCTCTTCCCTATACGAGAATATTCCCCCATTATTTTATTTCTAATATCGAGTTAGGCATGAATATAATAAAAATGAAAATAAAGCAATATATTACTAATAATTAAATTCATGGTTAAAAAGGCAAATAATTATTTTATTTAAGGTATACTCGATTATTTACAAGTTCGTATTCGTTTGAATGTCATATTGAATCGTACTACCTCGATAGGACGTACTTTTCTTGAAGATAGACATGAGTGCAATAAATAATTAATGATCATTTTTATTGTTCTAAGGACTGTTAACTTCCTAAAAAGGCTACTTTTAAAGCCTTTTTCACTTAAGTTATTGTTTGTTTAAAAGCTCATTTTAGTCATTTTAGGATCATGTAGTTGCATATAGTTGCATTTGTGGTGGTTGTGCTATTTTATTTCTTAATGGTGTTGTTTGAGGGAAAGGTGCAGTTTGTCTATGGTGTGCAGGGAATAGCAAGAAAAAAGTTTCTTTGGGAAGTAATGCTGCGACATCACACGTTGCTAAAGCAGATTGAAATGCCTTGGCATTTCTGGCGCAGAAAAAGACAAAAAGATATTTCTGCATAAGGATAGCTGGCACTGGACAGCTGTCTCTGCACGTGAAGGACTGCTGTAACCGCCTGCCAGAGCTGCCAAAGGACCACTACCACTTGGAGGATAAGGTTCATGCACAATATGTTATTCTAGGGGTATGAGGGGTATTTTGCACCCAACAACCTCATCATTACCCCTAGATATTTTTATTATATATGACACCTCATGGGAGAGAAGAAAAAAGGACAGAGAGCACACGCATAGAGCAGAAAAAAATCACATTTTTATTTCTTCTTCCTTGGGATATTCCTCCATTGATAAAGCTCCAAGGAGTGGCAAGCTAGGCGTCGGAAAGAGCTAGCAAGCTAGGTGGTTCGTGGTGGTCGAGAAGAGACCTGCGGTGGCGCGTCGAAGGCTTCTTCTAACTTCCCTTTTGCTGCTATTTTTCTATTAATTTGTGGGTTGTTGGAACGAATATTTTCATGACTTTGTGTTTGGATATTTCGAACCCCACCATGAACTAACTTATTTGGTGGTGGTTGGTTGAACGATTGTTTAAACTTTATTTTTTAGGGTATATTTAAGTTTATTTTGGGTTCTTTATTTGCTTTGCTTATGAATGCTTCGCCATCTAGGCTTGTAAGAGGCATGGAAATGTCCATCTCTTAGATGAAGGTTAGGTATTCGAAAGAATCCTAAGCTAAAAATACTTGTAAGTATTCGGAAGAAATGCAAGATAAGATCCTCATAAGCAATGGGTTATGGTATTTTCAAGGGGCTTTAAACCGGCCTAGGAATATTATAACTTAATCCCTTAGATCTCAGAAGAGACTAGGATAGGATTTCAACGACTAAAAAGGGTGTCTTTATCAATAGGGTAGGCTGTCCAACATCGTTGAGTGAGAGCAGATGCCTTGGCATCCTATTCTGTTAGGTTCTTTTGAACACCTTAGGAAAGCCCTGTCGAGTAAGTAAAGACAAGATAGCTTAAATATACTTGAGAAATATGTTTAGCAACCTTAGACCAATCCTTACCATTCATTTCATTGGAAGCTTGTCACGTGAGGATTATTTTCTTATTTTATTTACCTTTTTATTTACTGTCTTTACCATTTCTCATTGTCTCAACATTTCACCATACTCAATATTAAACATCCATCATTGCCACTGCATTTCCATTTGCTACACCATCACACCATCAATCCGCATCCACCAGCATACACATATCCATTGCCATGACATTTGTATATATCAAGACTAACTATACTTAGATAATTTAGTGCGTTGCTTTGGTTAGACTTTCGTAATTTCACCTAATCCCTGTGGAGACGATACTCACTCATCATTATATTACTTGAGCGATTGTGTATACTTGCACATTATTTGCGTATATTTTATAGTACTCACAACATGCGAACAAGTTTTTGGCGCTGTTGCGGGGATTGGCAGCCTGAAGTTATTTAGTTTTGCCAGAGCATTTTATTTTTTTTTGCATTTTTATTTTTGTATAGTTTACTTGATATTTTTGTTTTATTTTTCAAGTTTATTTAGTGTATGCCTAGAATAAATTCTGAAGAGCCTTTGGAACCGATAGAACCTGAGATTGAAAGACTCTTTAGAAGAAGAAGACGTGCTCAAGGAAATATGTATCAGATTGGAAACCAAGGCATTGGACAAGATGACGGAAATCAGAATGCCGCGGCATTAAACAATGCTGAACCTACTATCAGGCCTCGTGTTATTTGAGATCATTTAAATCCGATGTTGGATGATCTAAATCCTGGGATTGTGGCACCCGAAATTCAAGCTGCATATTTCGAGCTGAAACCAGTCACGTTCAACATGTTGAATTCCATTGGGTAGTTTGGGGGTATGCCAACTGAAGATACTAGGCAGCACATTCGCAATTTTATGGAAGTTTGTGATTCTTTCCGCCAAGAAGGAGTGCATGAGGATTTTCTGAAATTAAAGCTTTTTCCGTATTCATTGCGTGATCGAGCAAGGACTTGGTTGAGTGGTGTACCAGCCGGTTCGATGGAATCATGGGCCGATCTTTGCAAGAGTTTCTTATTGAGGTACAACCCACCAAACATGAATACGCAGCTAAGGAATGAAATATCATCTTTTCACCAGGGCGACGACGAATCCATGTATGAGAGTTTGGGATCGTTACAAGAGTTTGCTTCGAAAGTGTTCAAATCATGGTTTTCATGATTGGACTCAAGTAGTCATGTTCTATAATGGAGTCAATGCACCCACGAGGATGTTACTGGATGCCTCGGCAAATGGGACATTGCTGGACAAATCACCTACGGAGGCGTTTGCTATCTTGGACAGAATTGCTAACAATGATTATCAATTTCCTTCCTCAAGACTTGGGAGTGGGAGGAGAGCACCTGGAGCATTCGAGTTAGAAGCCAAAGATTCGGTGTCCGCTCAAATCTCCGCTATTACTAATATGTTGAAGAACTTACAATGTTCCACTGATGTGAAGGAAGTGAAAACAACTAGTCTGGCATGTCTGTTATGCCAAGGCAATCATCACGAGAGCGAATGCCCAACCAACCATGAGTCCATTAACTTTTTAGGCAATTACAATCGAGGCAGCAACAATCCTTACTCAAACACTTATAATGCTGGATGGCGTCAGCATCCTAATTTTTCATGGGGAAATCAAGGAGCCCACAATGCTAATCAACCTACTAGGCAGCAGAATCACAATGAGCCTCAAGGTTACCAAAATGCTATGCCATGGCATAATGCTAACAAAGGAGCTTCATCTTCAGCGAGCATAATTTCCTTAGAAGCTACAATTCAAGAATTCATATCTACTACGAAGACAATGTTGCAAGACCATTCTACTTCAATTAAGAATCAAGGAGCTTTACTTCATAGTCAAGGCGCCTTACTTCAAAGCCATAGCTCGTCTCTGAGAGCTTTGGAAGGTCAAGTTGGTCAGATTGCTACGGCATTGCAAGAGCGTCAGCAAGGACATTTGCCAAGTGATACTGAAGTCACTAAAGGGCCTGGAAAATAACATTGCAATGTGTTAACTCTTAGGAGTGGAACATAAATCAATCGACAAGTCAAGGATAGTGGGCCACAGCATAATGATTCTAATCCCACTACTGAAGATGAATTACAAGATGATAGAGTTTCTGAGAAGAACAAGGAGGAGGATTCTGCCAAGGTACCAGATTCTGATGCCAATGCAAAAGAAAATTCTATTCCTACAGCTAAGGAAGCTAGACCTCCCCCACCCTTCCCGCAAAGATTGAAGAAGTACAATGATGAAGTTCAGTTCAAGAAGTTCATAGACATTCTTGATCAGCTCCATATCAATATACCTCTCTTGGAAGCTGTTGAACAGATGCCGATGTATGCCAAATTTCTGAAGGACATCTGTACCAAGAAAATGAAAGTAGAGACTGTTGCCACGGTAACAGAATTTTGTTCTTCATTGAGTAAGTTGCCGCCAAAGAGAAATGATCCGGGCAGCTTCATTATTTCTTGTTCAATTGGAGCTAATTTCGTTGGAAAGGCTTTATGTGATCTTGGTTCAAGTGTCAACTTAATGCCGAAATCGATATTCTTGAAGCTTGGCATAGGAGATGCAAGACCCACCTCAGTTATTTTACAACTTGCCGACAAATCCCATGTTAAACCTGAAGGGAGAGTCGAGGATGTCATAGTAAGGGTGGACAAGTTTATGTTTCCAGTCGACTTCTTAATTCTGGACTGCGAAGTTGATGCCAAGGCACCAATCATTCTGGGAAGACCTTTCCTAGCCACTGGACGTATCTTGATAGACTGTGAAAAAGCTGAACTCACCATGAGAGTGGCTGATCAGTGTGTGACTGTCAATGTTTTTAGAACGCTCAAATATGTTGATGACACTGAAGAATGCCAAGGCATTTCTGAATTGAACTCAGTGATTGAAGAAGAGACTGAACATCTTTGCCAGAACAACTTCATTTAGCTAGCAGAAAATGAATATTGGGTGGATGATGAAAGCTTAGTGGAGTCCGACGACTTTCCAATTTTGGAGGAGCAATCTAGCTTAGTACAAGTTAGATCAGGTATGAATTTTGAACCTCTGAATTTTGATGAATTCATTTCTCCTAAGCCTTCATTATTGTATGCACCCAATCTAGAGCTTAAGACTTTTCCAGGGCATCTTAAATATGTTTACTTAGGTAGCGATGAGACTTTACTGGTGATTATTTCTGCTAACCTTACTGCTAACCAAGAGCAAAGTTTGTTAAGTGTTTTGATGCATCATAAGAAAGCAATTGGTTGGACTATGGCCGATTTGAAAGGCATTAGTCCCACGATCTGTATGCACAAGATTCTGCTAGAAGATTGCCACGGAAATTCAATTGAACCACAAAGAAGACTCAACCCTGTTATGAAGCAAGTGGTGATGAAAGAAATTCTGAAATGGCTTGATGCTGGAGTGATCTACCCTATCTCCAATAGCTCATGGGTGAGCCCTGTCCAATGTGTTCCGAAGAAAGGAGGCACGACGGTGGTTACGAATGAGGATAATGAGCTATTACCCACTCGCACTGTGACCGGATGGAGGATATGTATGGACTATAGAAAACTCAACAAAGCTACGAAGAAGGACCATTTTCCTCTACCTTTCATCGACCAAATGTTGGATCGATTGGCCGGCAAAGCATTCTATTACTTTTTGGATGGGTACTCGGGGTACAATCAAATTGCCATCGCACCAGAGGACCAGGAGAAGACTACATTTACTTGTCCCTATGGCACTTTTGCCTTTAGGAGGATGCCTTTTGGACTCTGTAATGCCCCGGCAACGTTTCAGCGCTGTATGCAAGCTATATTTTTAGATATAGTTGATGATTTTCTGGAGATCTTCATGGATGACTTTTCTGTTTGTGGGGACGACTTTGAACGATGCCTCGGCAATTTAGCAAAAGTTTTCAAGAGATGCGAGGAGGCTGAGTTGGTCTTAAACTGGGAAAAATGTCACTTCATGGTGACTGAAGGTATTGTATTAGGCCACAAAATTTCACACAAGGGTATTGAGGTGGACAAGGCAAAGATTGAAGTGATTGAAAAATTGCCACCACCAACTTCGGTCAAGGAAATAAGAAGTTTTCTTGGACATGCTGGATTCTATAGAAGTTTTATTAAAGATTTCTCCAAGATTTCTAAACCCTTGTGCATATTGCTTCAACAAAACCAACCCTTTGTGTTTGACGAATTATGCCTCGAATCGTTTACTGAGCTAAAGCGACAACTGATCTCGGCACCCATTGTAGTCCCTCCCGACTGGACATCACCATTTGAGCTGATGTGTGATGCAAGCGATTATGCCGTAGGAGCTGTTTTGGGGCAACGCCGAGGTAAAATCTTTCATGTTATTTATTACTCTAGCCGCACTTTAAATGAAGCACAATTGAACTACACCACCACTGAGAAAGAATTATTTGCCATAGTATTTGCTTTTGATAAATTTAGACCTTACCTAATAGGCACTAAAGTTATTGTTCACACTGATCATTCGGCTGTAAAATACTTAGTGAACAAAAAGGATGCCAAGCCTAGACTTATTAGGTGGATCTTACTTTTGCAAGAATTTGACTTAGAGGTGGTAGATAGAAAAGGAACTGAAAATCAAGTTGCTGATCACTTATCTAGGCTAGAGAACAATTCTGAATGCCATGACACTGTAGATATCCAAGAAGAATTTCCTGATGAGAAAATTTATATGCCGCGGCAATCCCGTGGTACGCTGACCTTGTTAATTTTTCTTGTTAGTGGAATTGTGCCTTTTGATTTGAATAGTCAGGCTAAAAAGAAGTTCAAGCACGATGCAAGGCACTATTTTTGGGATGAGCCATATATGTTCAAACATTGTGCCGATCAGCTCATTAGACGATGTGTACCTGAAGAGGAGCAAAGTGATATTTTGTACCATTGTCATTCGGCCCCAAGTGGAGGCCATTTTGGTGGAGCAAGGACTGCTGCTAAGGTCCTGCAATCAGGCTTTTACTGGCCAACTTTGTTTAGAGATGCCCAAGCATTTTACAAAGGATGTGATCGATGCCAACGGACTGGAAACATCTCCAGACGACATGAGATGCCGCTGCAAAATATTTTAGAGATAGAGCTGTTTGATGTGTGGGGCATTGATTTCATGGGACCATTCCCATCTTCTGAAGGAAAATTATATATATTGCTTGCTGTGGATTATGTGTCAAAGTGGGTGGAAGCAATAGCAACATCAAGGAATGACTCCAAGACCGTACTCAAGTTTTTGCACAAGTATATTTTCACTCGGTTTGGAGTACCTCGTGCTATCATCAGTGATGAAGGAACCCATTTTGATAACAAGTTGATTGCCAAGGCATTGCTGAGATATGGAGTTCGACACAAGATTGCCACGGCATGTCATCCGTAGACAAATGGCCAAGCTGAGATATCTAATCGAGAGATCAAGCAGATTTTAGAGAAAGTGGTGAACCCAAAGCGAAAGGATTGGTCGCCAAAGTTGGATGAAGCACTTTGGGCGTACAGAACAGCATTCAAAACTCCTTTGGGGATGTCACCCTTCAAGTTAGTGTATGGTAAAAGCTTGTCATCTCCCGGTTGATCTTGAACATAAAGCTTATTGAGCTATCAAGCGATTGAATTTCGATGCTCAACTAGCTGGGGAGCAGAGATTATTAGAACTTAATGAAATAGAAGAGTTTAGAGCACAAGCATATGAGAATGCTCGGATATACAAGGAGAAAACCAAGAAGTGGCATGACCAAAAACTGATGCCACGGCATTTTCATGTGGGGCAACAAGTCTTGCTTTACAACTCCAGACTTAAACTCTTTCCTGGGAAGCTAAAATCTCGATGGTCAGGGCCATTTGAGGTGCATTATGTCTATCCCCATGGAGCTGTTGACATCAAGAGAATAGACAATGGGAAGATCTTCAAGGTCAATGGCCAGCGTCTGAAAGCCTACAATGGAATTCCACCACCGCACAACAAGGACGTGTTACGGCTGCACGATACTGAAGCGTGCCCAGAGGAGAACCAAAATTCGATGCCTCGGCATGGAATTTGTGTCTGTGCATAAATAAAATTTAACATTCAAGTTTTTTTCTTTAGTTTTATTTTATTTTATTTTGTAATTAATTTTTGATCTGATTTGTAGTGACCACATTGTTGCAAACCGTACAAGGAGCGGTTAACAAAGGGAGGAAAGGACAAAGCATTAATTGGAGAGATATTCTTTTGATTTGTTTCTTTTTATTTAATTTAATTTCTGACATTTCTTTTTCTCTTTCCACAGACTTGTCCTATCACCATCATTACCTTTTGGCAGTTTTTTTTCCTTCCCTATACATGCACAACCCCCCACTCACTAATTCCTCTCTTAACCGTCCTATCACCCCTTTTCCCTCCCAAATTTTTAACTTTTTCTTTTCTCTTTCTTTATTCATTTTTTCTCTTTCATGTTAACTTTTACTTTTTCTCTCTCTTTTACTCATCTTCTTCCCTTATTCTCTCCATAGCCAAAATACATCCAAGTTTTTAAAGCTTTCAAAAGCTTCTTCTTTTTTCATTTTTCTTACTTCAAAAACACTGAAAATTGTGCGCTCAAGACCAGCTCCAACCGACACGACCGCTTGGCAACAGTTTGAGAACGATGAGTCCAAGGCTCGGTTCCAAAACTTCAAGAACCGAAAACTCTTTTTTGAGTTGGGATTTATTTTTATCGAGGAAACTAATGGTGGTTTTGGACCCGATGTTATGGACATCGTGACGCCGCTCAAGTGGCAGAAGTTTGCCCGTCATCCTGGTTCGGTGAAAGCCTCATTAGTTAAGGAGTTCTATGAGAACATTTCCAAGCCCAATCAACACTCCATCTTCGTTCGAGGTAAGCAAATCCGTTTTACATCCACTGCTATTAATCGTTATTTTCATTTACAGGAGGTAGTAGACGGCCATGCCATGTTCGAAGAGGAAGCCGATAGCAACACATACGATGGGGTCTTGGAGGACCTTTGTTTTGAAAACACTGAGTAGAATGGATGACAAACGAGTAGATACTCGGTCAACCGAGAACGTCTTCAGCCGCGCGCAAAGTTATGGAATCACTTTCTCAAGCATAAACTAATGCCCACTTCCCACAACACTACGGTATCACTTTCACGCTTATTGCTTTTACATTCTATGATAGTATCTCGTACGATCGATGTGGGTCGTATTATTGTTCAGCAAGTTCATGACTATTTGGGTAAAAAGGCAAGTGCTTTGGTGTTTCCTAATTTAATTACCGCTTTATGTCGTAAGAAAAAGGTTGAGGAAAATGCTTTTGATGAAATTTTACCTGGATTATCGGGCATCACTAGGGCTAGACTTCCACTATTGTTGGGACTTGAAAATCCCAAGTCTAAAGACCCTGTTCATGAGCAATCTGCAGGTACTACAGAATCGAATGCCGAGGCAAGGTTACTTGTTCTCGAGGAAGCTGTGACGCAGACTCAAGCTCAACTACATGCTTTACACGGTGACATCCGTAATTTCTTTGGATACGTGAAGCATAGAGATGCTGTGGTGGAATCGTTGTTTCAAGAAATTATTCCCCACGGTCAACGGAATTTCCCTGGTTTCCCATACGAAATTCTGCCGGCATTCAATGCTGAGGCATCTCCAGAGCCTGAGCACGATGCACCCGATCCTCCTGCTGCTGACCCTACTCCTGATACACACCGGTCTGAGACTCCTGAATATCCGCCCACTGTCCCTGTCGAAGAAACACCCAGCCCCGTCCTTGCACCCAATCCTTCTTATGCACAACGTAGTGGTCGCCGCACCAAGACCACGGCTGGACGCATTGCGCACTATTACTCCACTTCTTCCGAGTCCAGCCCAGCACCTATTCGAAAGCGCACCCGATGAGGAGCTGCTAGCATCTCCAAAGCACCACCACCACGTAAACATTTAGGTACCTCTCTTGCATCCATTTTCATTTAGTTGCATTTCATTGCATAACATATAGTTTATAGTTAGTTTAGTTCTCTTTAAAGCATTGAGGACAATGTTTCCCTTAAGTTTGGGGGAGGTATTGTTCTTGGTAGGTCATATGCATGATAGCATTAGCATAGTATTATGCCATGGCATCAGTAAATGGTAGGACAGTTAGATGAAATGTTTTGAGGATACCCGATGATGATAATTTTGTTAGGCTAGAATCTGAATGTAAATGACTGTTGAGAATGATAGAACTCACTCTAGGTCTTGATGCTTTGTGAAAAATATTTACACGATTTGTATGTTTTCTATACTTAGAAAATTTAGGAAATTTTTATGAAGGAACTTTAGTTAGTCTTGGCATTGAAATATAGTATGGTGTTTAAAAGAAAAATCAAAAACAAACTCCCTTAGAAATGAAACTGTGAATAAATGCTTAAGCATAGCTGTAGAGGGACACTCCTCTTTGCCGTGGCATTTCCTGGAACTTTCTTTAATAAATGGAAGCCTTATGCATATGAGTGAATGAAAGAAGTCACGGGATGACTCTACTTAACTAGCTCGGGGATGGAAGGTATGCTCCCTTTCATCTAGAGTGTGGGAGAGTAGGTGTGATGAGCTGACTCCCTTCGTAACAGTTAAAAAAAATATTCAAAGAGAAGGGAGTAAAAATGTACTTAATGATAAGTAAATGCCTTGACAAAAATAGGGGACTTGATTAGAAATTGTCTAAATTCGCTAAGTATAGATTGGATACAATCACGCACACACACTACCACAAAGGATTTTAACCTAGGGAAAATTACTTAAATTCTTGATAAGTCTAGCATGTTGAAGCCTATCGTTCTAAGGGTTGAAATTCAATTTTGTCCTACTGTCTTACTATCGAACTTTGCCATGACATTATGCTTATGAAACTGTTATCCATTGCTTGAGGACAAGCAATAGCTTAAGTTTGGGGGTGTGTTAACTTCCTAAAAAGGCTACTTTTAAAGCATTTTTCACTTAAGTTATTGTTTGTTTAAAAGCTCATTTTAGTCATTTTAGGATCATGTAGTTGCATATAGTTGCATTTGTGGTGGTTGTGCTATTTTATTTCTTAATGGTGTTGTTTGAGGGAAAGGTGCAGTTTGTCTATGGTGTGCAGGGAATAGCAAGAAAAAGGATTCTTTGGGAAGTAATGCCGCGGCATCACATGTTGCTAAAGCAGATTGAAATGCCTTGGCATTTCTGGCGCAGAAAAAGAAAAAAAAGATATTTCTGCATAAGGACAGCTGGCACTGGACAGCTGTCTCTGCATGTGAAGGACTGCTGTAACCGCCTGCCAGAGCTGCCAAAGGACCAATGCCACTTGGAGGATAAGGTTCATGCACAACATGTGATTCTAGGGGTATGAGGGGTATTTTGCACCCAACAACCTCATCATTACCCCTAGATATTTTTATTATATATGACACCTCATGGGAGAGAAGAAAAAAGGACAGAGAGCACACGCATAGAGCAGAAAAAAATCACATTTTTATTTCTTCTTCCTTGGGATATTCCTCAATTGATAAAGCTCCAAGGAGTGGCAAGCTAGGCGCCAGAAGGAGCTAGCGAGCTAGGTGGTTCGTGGTGGCCGAGAGGAGACCTCTGGTGGCGCGTCGAAGGCTTCTTCTCACTTCCCTTTTGCTGCTATTTTTCTATTAATTTGTGGGTTGTTGGAACGAATATTTTCATGACTTTTTGTTTGGATATTTCGAACCCCACCATGAACTAACTTATTTGGTGGTGGTTGGTTGAACGGTTGTTTAAACTTTATTTTTTAGGGTATATTTAAGTTTATTTTGGGTTCTTTATTTGCTTTGCTTATGAATGCTTCACCATCTAGGCTTGTAAGAGGCATGGAAATGACCATCTCTTAGATGAAGGTTAGGTATTCGGAAGAATCCTAAGCTAAAAATACTTGTAAGTATTCGGAAGAAACGCAAGATAAGATCCTCATAAGCAATGGGTTATGGTATTTTCAAGGGGCTTTGAACCGGCCTAGGAATATTATAACTTAATCCCTTAGATCTCGGAAGAGACTAGGATAGGATTTCAACGACTAAAAAGGGTGTCTTTATTAATAGGGTAGGCTGTCCAACATCGTTGAGTGAGAGCAGATGCCTTGGCATCCTATTCTGTTAGGTTCTTTTGAACACCTTAGGAAAGCCCTGTCGAGTAAGTAAAGACAAGATAGCTTAATTATACTTGAGAAATAAGTATAGCAACCTTAGACCAATCCTTACCATTCATTTCATTGGAAGCTTGTCACGTGAGGATTATTTTCTTCTTATTTTATTTACCTTTTTATTTACTGTCTTTACCATTTCTCATTGCCTCAACATTTCACCATACTCAACATTTCACCATACTCAACATTAAACATCCATCATTGCCACTGCATTTCCATTTGCTACACCATCAATCCGCATCCACCAGCATACACATATCCATTGTTATGACATTTGTATATATCAAGACTAACTATACTTAGATAATTTAGTGCGTTGATTTGGTTAGACTTTCGTAATTTCACCCAATCCCTGTGGAGACGATACTCACTCATCATTATATTACTTGAGCGATTGTGTATACTTGCACATTATTTGCGTATATTTTATAGTACTCACAACACGCGAACAAGGACATTTCACCATTTATGAAATACTTAGAGCATATGGATCAACATTAACCTATAAAATTAAAACAATGATAAATGTTAATGGAATGAAATTTAAGGACTAGGTTAGAACTAAATTAGAACTATAGGGACCTATTAGCAAGTATTTCATTTTTGTGTTACATGATAATCAATATTAATTAATGACCAAAATATACATTTAATAAACTAGGAGGACCTAGAACATAAATACTACACTACATAATGCTTAAGAAAATGGTAACTAAAATAAAATAAACATAAAATATAAAGGATAAAAATGGCTATTCGTCCAAGGCATGATAAAGCATAAATGGTGAAAAAATTATAAAGAGGGAAAAACTTGGAACTCAAAATAGAGATAATCGAAACTTGCATTTAGTGACTAAAACGCAATAGTACAAAGCACGGATGACCAAAATGGAACAGTGACAAAACATAAAGGCCTCTATGACCATTTACCCACGCATTATTCTATGACCCAAAATGGCGTCGTATGAACCCTTCTTATAAGGCCAAAATTAGGCAAAAATTACATTATTTTTCATTTGTTCATTCTCTAAAAATTTGCTAAAGACAGAAAAGAAAAATTCTCTCAGCCATCTCTTCCCTTCTCTACTTTCTTCGTCGTTAAGATGAGCCGAATGTCTTGTTGACCACTGTAAGCTACGACTCCGATGGTAGAGATGACCTTAAAACGTCCCCCTATAATCCCTAAAGCTAAAAAACTACCATATTTTAACAAAAAATGGCTCTATCCCATTCGAAATCTAAAAAAATGAACCCAAACACCCTCCTTTTTTAGAACCTAAAACCCTTTTCCCTATAGATCTAACAACATAAATCATGTTACCTTCAGTGGAGAGTGGCTCCTCTGCTCCGATGAGAGACCCGAGGTTTTCAAAGGTAAGATTCTATCTCTTTAATTTTTTCGATGTTCGAAAAGAATGCTATGAGTTTTTTTGTTGTTGTTGATGGATCTCCCCTTTTATAAAACGAGACTCATTCTCTTTTTTTTATTATTTGTTTTGCATGCAAATGGAAAAAGAGATTTCTGATCTATTTTTGTTTGTTTTTGCCCTTTTCGACTTTTGGGTGCTCTGTCCGAGGAGGGGAATCCTGCGAGAGACAAGATTCACAGGCGGCGGTGACCTTGGCAAAGGTACAAGTTAAAAAATTTACTCTGAAGCATGTTTTGTTCTTCTTTACAACGGTCAGCGAAAATCTCGGCGGTGGCGACATCACCAGATTGTGCATGGGGAATTAAGGGGTAAAACCCTAATTGAGTGTAGATCTGAATCGTTAGATGATGTCCAAATCTAAAGGTTACGGGCGTGTGATGGTTAAAGACAAAGTTAGAAACCCTAATTACTACACACGCAAGCTTGTTCTTTGGAGTTAAGTTAACTTATCTATTTTGCGTGTAGTTGGGCTTGGACATTTAATTAAAATTTTCTTTCATTTATAGTGGTAATAATAATAATAATAATAATAAATAATAAAAATGATTATTACAACCTCTTTGTTTATTGCAGTGGAACTGGAATAGAGCAAAGATATAAACACCATTTTCCGACATCACTATTGAGTTATTCTCATTATGAACTCTTCCATTGGAAATATTGACCCGACCTCTTTTGTGATGGAATCGAGCAACAAGTTCTTCTCATTATGAACTTCTTCTCTGGGAAATTTTGATCCAACTCCTTCTGTTATGGAATCGAGCAACAAGTTATTCTTATTATGAACTTCTTCTCTAGGAAATGCTAATTCAACTCATTCTGTGATGGAATCGATCAACAAGTTCTTATCATTATGAACTTGTTCTTTGGGAAATGCTAAACCAACTCCTTCTGTGATGGATTCAAGCAAAGACTGAACAAGTTCTTCTCATTATGAACTTCTTATCTTGAAATGCTGATCCAACTCCTTATGTAACATCCTCCATACCGGGTAAGTGATCAAATTGTGAGATTTAAAAATTCAGTGACCAAATTGGATAAATTAAAAGTTCAAAGAATTGATTGAAATGTTTTGTGTAGGAGCAATTAGCAAAGAAGGATGAACTAAAGGGGTAAATAAGTCTTTTAATAAGGGAAGCAATTAAATATTACTTTTGAAGGGATATTTTAATACCCACGTGGAAGACAATTGGGGAAAACCAAAGTTCCAGATTTCTCTTCTTCTCCACCGTGAGACCAAGCTAAAGGTGAGTTTTCTTGTTTATCAAATTATTGATGAATTTAAGGTTGTTTATTGATCATTAGATGATAACTAAGCTTCAGGAAAGCTTAGATTATCTTAAAACCATAAGATAAATAGTACATGAAGAATTAAAAAAAGGAAGTAGAAAAGTGAAATATTGGATTAGAGTTCATAATAAGAATTAGAAGTGGTATTTGACTTGTCATCAAGCTAATTAAGGAATAGGAAGTGTTAGAATTAGATTAAGAACATTTTGGAAGTTGAGTGAGATTCTTAAATTCTATATGGAGAATTGGATTTCTAAGTTTTAGAGGTATGGAATGGATAATAATTAGTTTAAGTAAGAGTATGCAAGTTAGGGATATAAAAAGAGGGGAAATATAAAGTGTTGAGAAGATTATGAAGAGATTTTCGTGCTAAAATAACATTTCTGGGCTATGTGCATCGATGTACCCGTCAAGGGATGCATCGGTACATGGTGTAGTGCATCGATGCATACCTTCATTAAAAAATGAAAATGGCTTTTCTTTTAGCCCAAGAAATGATAGTTTAGAATATATTAATTAGTATACTGATAAGTATCAATGAATTACTATGTAGATACAGAGCCTAAACAAGTTGCAGAACAATTGCCTAGTAAGATCGATCAAGTAAAAAGCAAGGAAATATAGGTGAGTGCATATGCATAACATGATTATAGCGATATATTCAGTTCTAGACTTATGAGAAGTCTAGATTCAATACATTGATGCATGATTCATTTCATATTGTGAAGCATGATATGA